CAGCATATTTATAAAAGTTTGTGTGATGAAATGGAATTATGAAGGGCAGGCTCAGGGAGAAAAACATTTTCTTACATCTCCTGAGGAGCGTGGGAAATACAGGAGGATGAGACTGGCACTTCCCTGAGGAATTCACAATGTTGTGGATGGCATTACTTGGGAGCTGGGGTTTCAGTCTGGGAAGATTCTTGTTAGAGGTTGTTGCTAATAAACATAGCTGGACATCATGTCAGCTCTAGCCCAAGGAACTCCAACAGACCATGTAAATTCAGCTATGTTTATTAGCTACAACCACAACATTGTGAATTCCTCAGGGAGGTGCCAGTCTCATCCTCTTGTATCTCCCACGCTCCTCAGGAGATGTAAGAAAATGTTTTTCTCCCTGAGCCTGCCCTTCATAATTCCATTCCATCACAGTTTGGTACAAATCATATTTCTTTGTGGTACATATACAGATAAACAAACACAAATGTATAGCTAAATGAGCAATTTAAATAATGCTTTCCATCCCACCAAAAGATAGGCAGGGGCTAGTGAAGCTCAGGCGATACTGTCAAATATGTTCAGGAAAAAAATGGAGTTTTACCACTTTGCCCTCAAAGCAAAAACTCCTCAGAAAAAAAGCCTGAATCATATTCTACAGTCTTTGAAACTTCTATGGCTTTATTTGTATAAATTCTGGGTTCAGTGTACTGAGACAAGATTCTCTTTGCCATTCATTCTCCTGAAATCCTGCATGCCAACTTTTCATAATTACAGGGGGAAAAAATAAAACACTGAGCGGAGGATATTACAAAAAATATGTGCGTAACATTGTCATTACCTAATTGCTATCCCATTACATATAAGTATAGGGCATGAACAACATGTATGACAAAAGCAGGACATGAACACAGAAAAAACACACAAAAATATACAACTCTCTTATTATGCCTTTTATTCAGGTTTGGCTTTTTCTCCCAATTCTCCTGTTGAAAATTATACTTGGCTATAAATATGAAAAAGAGTGTAAGTACTCAAGTAGGAGTACCGTATTCTGTTTTCAGCGCTAAAATATAGTACATCTTCTAAAGGTTCCCTGAGCTGGCATTTGCACATAAGAATTAGCCCCAACAATTGGCTTGCTGAATCGCACAGCTAATAGTGGTTCCATTGCAATATTCCTGAATTACTTTTCTGTCAGTAATGTTCTTCTTGCCAATGTGAAAAGTCTATTTCAAGCTGACACTGCAGAAGCAGCAGAAATCACTGCCTTGCATTTTAAGAAGCATTCTATTCTCTCTTCCCAAGGGGCGGTTGGCTCGCCCCACTTTTAAGTTTCTAGGATCCTACCAGGATGGCTCGATTGCATAAAATGACTCTAATACAGAATAGCCATCATGACAGTAGGAGCATAAAGGTAATAGGAGTATTCCATCACGGAAAGTACAAAAACACCAGCAATGCCAGAATTTGTTACTAACTGCAACTGCAAGACTCACACGTTGGTTGGTTATTAATGTTTTATGTTTAGTTATCAGACAGAAAGGGCAAATGTTGATTGTCTGTTAGACTCACAAGTTTGTTAGACTAAAGACTCACAAACATGTAAACATGCCTGTGCTCCAAGTACCTTTATGGCTGTAAACAATCAGAACAGCCTGATCAACCCAGATCACATTTTAAAGAACTACAAAAGATGGTTGTCTGAGAGATCAGCTAGGCTAGTCCTCTCTCTCTGAAAGCCCTTAAAAATCTATATAACAGAAGTCTTTTTAGTTTTCCAACAGATTGTTGGAAAGAAATTATGCAAGAGACTCAGGATTCTTTCCATCTGTATGTCTACCAGCAGGATAATTCTCTTAAAAATAGGCTAGATCTGACCAGGGTTTATGGAGAAAATTTCCAGGAAAAAAAAAACCTAGTTGGTCAGTGGTTTGGAATGCTGCCAACTGCTCTAAGCATCCTCTGACTTCCTTCCTGGTCACATGATCCAAAATGGACTATCGGTAGCACACCCCATGCTTCCAGGTGCACAACAGACAAAACATGAGAGGAGACACACAGACACGATACATACACATTCCCCTTGATTAGACACTCACAAACACAGAGATGCATGCATATAGCCAACATATATGAACACACCGATTAGCTGTTGGGGAGAAAATGCATTCATACATATCGACCAAACAAGTTATCTCATTATATAAAAGAAAGTATTACTGCTGTTACATTCTTTTATCTTGCTTTGTTAATTTATACTAATTAAAACAAAACAAAACACATTCCACATGGAGCTACTCTTGAAAAGCATTCGGAAACTTCAGCTGGTCCAGAATGCAGCAGCATGTGCAATATTGAGTGTACCACAGTACATCCATGTAACACCATTGCTCTGTGAGATGTACTGGTCCCCAGCAGACTTCCAGGTGCAAGTCAAGATGCTGACTGTCACCTTTAAAGCCCTGCATGGCATGGTGCCAGATTATTTGTGGGACTGCTTCTCCCTGATGGTTTCTGCCTGTCCCATCAGATTTGGCAGAGTGGGCATGCTCAGCTCCCTGCTGAGGCAGTGTCATACGGTGCGTCCGAGGAAGCATGCCTTCTCTGTCAGGATGGCTGCCCACGGAACAGCCTCCCTCCAGAGATATGGACAGCTCCAACCGTACCGGCCTTTTGCAAAGTTGTGACGGCCTGGTTCTGGAGCTCTGGGGTAGACATATGGCATGGTAACTGTGAGTGATCTACACTTTTGACCAGCACACAAACCCTCGTTTAGTCAAGCCAGTCTCTTCCTCGTCTTCTCCACCAAGCCACGGGTACTCTCTTTGGTTTGCCTGAGTCAGGAGAGAAGAAACTCCCTGCTCTGATCTTAATTAGATAATTGATTATTTATTTATTTAATGGATTGATAGGGCTACTCAACTCAAACAATATGTCTCTGGGCAGCATACAACAAAAACAAACAATACCACACAAAACCACACATACACTAAAAAGATACCCAATATATAAAATATAAAATGGTGACCAAACATAATAATTAAACAACACAAAGGGGACTTTGCTCAATTAGACCCAAACACCTGGGGAAAAAGCCAGGTCTTATCCACTTTTCTAAAGGAAAGCAGAGCTGGGGGCTCGTCATATTTCAGTGGCAAGATCTTTCCAGAGGACAGGGACAGCCACCGAAAAGTCATGCTTCCTAGGTCCCATGAGATGGCCAAATTTAAAAAAGGGAACCTAGAGCATGCCCTCCTTATGTGAACACGTGGAATGGGCAGATGTTCTTGGGAGAAGGTGGTCCCACACCTTGAATCGCACCCAGAAGCCTACTGGGAGCCAATGCAGCTAGTAGCGTAGTCGTGTCACATAGGTGGAATTAAATAAAATAAAAATCTTCATCACACGAAAGAAAAAACAAACACTGAGGTAAACGGGTTGGAAAGAATTCCAGAAGCCATGTTCTACATGCTTTCCCTCTATATATATTACAGTAGAGTCTCGCTTATCCAACATAAACGGGCCGGCAGAATGTCGGGTAAGCAAAAATGTCAGATTACCCGCAGTAATCCCCCCTCGCCCAAATGGCAGATTCAGTCCAGTGCTTTTGTCTTTCTGATTGCCATCTATGGGTTGTGCAGTTGTTGTCTTTGTTGGGTTTTCCTGTTGCACGCAAAACCAGGAGTTCTCAATCACGCACTGATTGCTTTGCTTTCGCGCCATTGCGCTTTCCTTTGTTTGCAGGTGATACAAAGCATCCACTTGCGGTTTTTTGAGCTAAGCACCCGAAGTATCCGCTTACGGTTTCACTTCCCCTTTTTCTCTGCTAGGCCTGGGTGGTGAAATTAACTAGGCGAAGCCGAGCAGCGCCTTCACCGCGCCACACCACGCCATGCTGGCTGAATCTGACACACGCCTGCTGCACCTGTTGCAATCGATTTTTGCGTTGCGGCGCCACACTGTCAGGAGCAACAAGAAAGAGCACACTCACGCTCGCAAACAAGCGGCACACTTTTCTCATCACCGATTTATGCGTGTTGTGTTTTTTTTAGGGGTGTCGGATAAGATGGAATGTCGGATAAGCGAAGGTCGGTTAAACAAGATTCTACTGTATTTATAAATCAGATTTACACGCCACCTATATCACTATGTAAGTGACTCTAGGTGGCTCACACATAAGAAGAATAAAAACAGTTTAAAAACTACAAAACGAAGTTAAAAAAAGACTACAAGACAAAGTTAAAAAATGGAGAGAGCATCCTCAAGGGACTAACCACTCCCAGTGTCAGGAGCCCCAATTGGATCCCCAAGGTTGTCGGCAGAACCAGATCTTAACGCTCTTCCGGAAGGCCAGAAGAGTGGGGGCCAATCTCACCTCAGGGGGCAAGATATTCCACAGGGCAGAAGTGACAGCAGAAAAGGCTCTCCTCCTAGACCCCACCAGCTGAAATTCTCTAGCCAACAGGGTCCGCAACATGACCTTCCTGCCGGACCAGGTGGAATGGACAATGAACCGGGACAAGGCGGTTCCTCAGGTAACTTGAGAATTTAACCTAATTAAATTCATTGTTGTAGGGATAGGCTTTTGTGATCGTCTTGATCTAGGTCAGTGTTTCTCAACTTTGCAACTTTAAGAAATTAGGCTGTGGAATTCTGTGGGTTGAAGTCCACACAACTTAAAGTTGCCAAGATTGAGAAACACTGATCAGGCTTACACTTCCCATAAGCAAATTAACATAAGACAGCTACATATTTCACAAATTAGTTCAGTACTGAAATAATAGATATTCTTCACCTTTTTACATTTCAAGTTTTATTCCTTTCCTCTATTATCTACTGTACTCTATATCATAAGCCTCATAGAGCAGCTACTTTCTCCTCTTTCCTTAAGAAGAGCTATGAATCTTGATGGTAAGTCTATAAATAACCAATTACACTGTCAGTTACTAAAACACACATGTACTTATTATGTTATCATAAAATTAACATGGAACTTACCAGTACAAAGTAGTATGCATATAGAGCTACTACATGGTGAATTACAAAAAATATATCCCCAATTGCCTTCCAGTAAAATACAATAAGCAACAAATCTAAAAAGGAATAAAGAAAGAATCAGTAAAATTCTACAATTATTATATTTTATTTTAAAGCTTTTCATAATGCAAGAACATGGGGAAAATATTAAAACAGAAATCAAATCAAACAAACATTCAGAATAATTTTTTTGCTCAGCAGTAATCCCCACCTAAAAAGGAAGGCATACTTGCCAAAACAGAAAGTTTGGCATTACTACTCTGATCATATGAAATGCCTTTATAATGCCACTTTAAAACAAGTGAAGTACCAAGGTAACATATTCTCACTGAACTGGTGTACACAATTATATAATGACAGGGCAGCTCTGAGAACTGAGGTATATGAAAATCCTTCTATGTGGGTTAAGTATATAAAGTCTTTTATCTTCTAAACCTTTACCATGTTTCCCACAATGCAAGGACTTGCATACGGCACACTTTTTATTTGAAAAGATCCAGTATTAAAAGCTAGATATAAAATATAGTTACAGTATTTGGTGTCCTTGTTTTGCATCAAATATTTAGCATAAACTATTTCTCTTGCAGAAAATGAATGTAATAGCATTGAAGTAATAAATCATATGGAAGTTAGGAATCTCCAGTATAAATAAAGGGTTATTCCAATATTTAGCAAGAACATTTCTTGTCCTCCCCCAAAAACACATCACATCTGCTCCAAAATATCTTCTGCATGTAGTGGCAGTGGCAAGATTAAAAATTTGTTCTACTGTTGAAAACAGCATTCATCATCACCTTTGGATACATCTCACTATATAATGTGATGTGATTTATTTATTTGCTTCATTTATTCAATTTACATGCCTGCCCAACTCACCTAAGTGACTCTGGGCCACTAACATAACATTAAAAACAATAATCAACAAAAATAGAAAAAGCAGATATATGTTATAGCTGTCAAACTTTCATTATTTTGAAAAAAAAATCCCATTCATTTTTAATATAAAAGCTGGAGTTCTGAATGCATGGAAACAATAGGTACAACTGTGAATTGAGCTATGAAGTTCATAAAGATCATGAATCGACTTTTCAAAAATTGGGTCCACCTGCCAGTTCCGTTGGCAACAATTATAATGCAATCCGTCCAGAACACCAAAGTCCACAGCATCACACTGCAATGTGGAAAGGGATATCACAGTACTAACACTGAAGGCAGAGAGACTATATGAGGAAGCACCAACAAAATTACTTCTCTTTTTCTTTTATCTGGATAAAAGCTTTCAAGTGGCACTGACTTGCCAGAACATTATTAAAAAACAGAGACTCGGGTTTGGCTTATGATCCCTTACCATATAAAAATGATCATAACTACTAACATAAACCTCAGATTTACATCACCAAAGGAAGTTATTATCAAGCTAATCCTAAAGTTGCCTGATGTTTCTTACAATAGCAATCTCCTCCCACTTTATGTTTAGAATTTTTTTTTTTAAATTTAAGACTTACAAGAGGAGATGCATACTGCATTTATGTATATACTGCTGTAGTCTTTTTAAAACTGGGAAGAGTGGGTGAAGAAGTTCAACTTCCAAAACAAAAGAGACAATATACTTTCCATTTGATTAATCAATTTACATCTCAAGGGGAACTAAGGTGAAATGTGTAATTAGGAAGCTAAGTTTTCCTCCATGAATGGCCCTCATTTCTTTCCCCTTAGTTATTTTTCTATAGTTATTAAATTACTGACACCAGATTAGAGCTAGTGCCATGGAAGCAGGAAGAAAAATGGAAAGAAAAAAGTAATTCTTGTTACACAAGCTTGAGAATATGAGAACTTTACAGAAAAAAGCATTTTGAAACTTAACACAATACTGTCATATTATGAAATAAAATAATCACATTTTACAGCATAATTTTTTTGTGCCAGGGAAATACAGTAACAATTCTGCTTCCCTGTGTAAGGAAAAATATGGTAAACAATTCTGCTTCGTACAGATAGACTTTCCTGAAGAGGAGCATGTTTTGGCAAACATTCTGCTAAAAGGTTCTTTCAAAATACAGATGACTTACAATAAATTACACAATACTTTATACATTACCTGAAATGAGGTAGCCTGAAGTAATAGCAAGATTTAGTTGCACTGTAGAAGGATCACCCCTATAAACAAAGACACCCAAGGCATTACATTTATGCAAACTTACAAGTGTGTGTCGATTAAATATAACACACTGTAAACATTTTGCACATTGCTTACACTTATCTTTCCCCAAATATCATGATCACTTTTTTTGATGTCGGAAGAGAAATCTTACATAACTGACTCTGGTAAATGGCAAACAGGCAAGAGAACAGCTCCTGAACAGATATATTAAAAAAAAAAAAAAAGTAAGGTATAGTATTCTGAAGACAACCAATTGAGAGGGGTCAACCACTGTTCAGCCAATTAGGTTGCTAACTTCCTCCACCTTTGCTTCTAGTATCTCAGTTTCAACTCAGATGAACAAAAACATCTCCGTTCCAGCACAGGAAGTGAGCCAAAGGAGGTGAGTACATGGTAATAGCTGTGGTCAGGCTGCCCCAGTTTTTTTGGTGTTAGTGAAGCAAAAGCCCCAGATGTCCTCCACATTACAGTTCAATATAAGCCTCTCCTGCAATTTTGGAAAGGTTTGGGTAGTAAACAGATATACATCCCTTATATTTTTAATTAAAACATGAGATAATTTGACCAGCCAAAGAAATAACAAGAGACAGAGAAAATGGGATTTACAAACCAAGGTATTTCTTACCAAACACGGTCAGCATTAATAGCTTCATCATATAACAAAATATAGACACAAAATATTCCAACCACCAAGGCATGGAATGTAGACGCTGTCCTAAAAAGACAAAAGCAATCCCATTAGGCGTATGCTCCCTTTAATTTGGTGGCACAATAATGAGAGAAACAAACAAAACAAGTAAAACACTTCCTATGACCTTAAAATGAGATTTGTGCAATAAAAATGTTTCTACTGTACTGGGCACCTCATAAAAATTTAATTAGGGTTGATTATAATTATCCTATGGTTGTAACTCAGTAATTGGGACATTCATCCATATAGTTTTGCCTTGTCATACTGTTGTTGCATTTTGGGATAAACCAACGGATTGCTAATATGATTATCGATCAACTGCTTTAGGGTGCATATGTTCTTAGCTACATTTGGAATCTACAAAGATATCAAGAACGCTGGCCTTTCTGGGCATGTGGGTTGGCTAAAAGAAGGAGAAGGAGAATTCTACACTAGATCTGCAGCAGTGAATTACTAACATGTGTCGTTCATCAGCATTTCAATTAGTCTTTTTTCATCAAAGGGCAAAGATGATTTTCAAGCACTATAGTCAAACCTTTTGGAGTTTCTTCAGTTTATAATATAATTTCCAAAAGGCCTTGTTTCCTGGCCTTTTTTCTTTAATTGCTCTGCTTATTAATTTTGTGGATCCTTTAATGCCGTGATATACATTTGTACTTTTTTATTAGCTTGTATAATTTTCTTTCAAAAAGGCATGTACTGCCCTTATTATCCAGGAGAGACACAAGATATACTACGCATTTCTAAAAATGATCAGGAAGAGAAACAACACTGATACTTATTTTCAAGCCTCTCCATATAGCTTGGAGACTCATAACCCAGAGGAAAATCACTGTCTTTCAAGGGGTTTATGATGGAAATGAATTGCCAGTAGTCTGAGAGACCTTCCAAGAGATATAAAATTCTTAAGGGCACAGTCAGTACACCCATTACATGGTGTTATGGGAGACAGAGAAAACAAAGATGAAGTCAGCTGTGATCCTCAGCTAAGAAGAACCTGACAACACCAAGAGGGGATTCACATTTACTGTATTCCTGCCTTACCCACTCTGGTGCCCCTTAGATATATGGGGCTAATCTTCATTACCACTACTGGTATGGCCAGTGGTTATGTTGGTTTACAACCTGGTATCTTCCAGGTGTATTGAATTGCAGTTATGGTCATCTTCAATACACCTGGAGGATACCAGGTTGTGAAACAATAACATATACAGTGAAACCTCGATTTAACAGACCAGTTGAGGTGAGATCTCTTACTTCTGCATGTCTATTAAATTACATAAGTGACATAAATTACCACAGATGATTTAATTCAGTGCAAATGACATTAAAATAACATAAATTTAACCGCCTTATCCAGTGTACTTATGATGCCACAAGTGTGCCTGTTAGTTTAGGGGTATGTCTGAATAGAAAATTTGGTCCATTGCATCTGAAATCCGCTCACTTGGGGTCTATTACATTTATTATACTTCCATACACTTTATCTATCAAGGTTTCACAGTTTACAATTCATTATTAAAGTATTTATGGTAAATAAGCTAAAATTAAAATAACTAAATCTAAACATGTTCACAATAATTTGATGCAACATTACCAACCAATGGTTGGTACAACACAATGAATGTAATGAAGAAAAAAATAAGGTTTCATTGTATTGAATACCCACTAAAAGAGACATTAATATTGGATGCATATTTCATAGTTCTTTACAGAAGTGCACTGAAAAAATTGCAACAATGTAATACTGCAACCAATTATAAATGTTAATTGATTAATGAGGTTAGATTTTAGCTTAATTAATAATTGTCATTGAAGCTATATGAAATAGATATTTCTCCTTTAATCCCTCATATCCAAGTAACACACAGAATCTTTTAACACACACAGAATGTTTTACATGCATGTATACAGGTGAAACTCGAAAAATTAGAATATCGTGCAAATGTTCATTTATGTCAGTAA